AGGACCCAGCAGGACCCAGGAGGACCCAGGAGGACCCAGCAGGACCCAGCAGGACCCAGCAGGACCCAGCAGGACCCAGGAGGACCCAGCAGGACCCAGGAGGACCCAGCAGGACCCAGCAGGACCCAGGAGGACCCAGCAGGACCCAGCAGGACCCAGGAGGACCCAGCAGGACCCAGCAGGACCCAGCAGGACCTGGATCAGGTCTTTCATGAGAACATTTGTTGATAAATGAGGAGCAGAACCTGGATTTGAAGAGGTTTATTTCCTGCTGCAGTTTTCACTTACATCACATCAACAGGACAGACTGGGTCAGAACCTCCCAGAACCTCCCAGCAGAACCACGGGTCCAACATGCCGTCAGCCGGTTCTGTTCTCCCGCCCCCACCTCCCCGCTCCCACCTTTCACTTCCTGCTCATCCTCCAAACAACACGACGAAACACAGAGACAAACGGGTCAGAACACAACAGAACGGGTCAGAACCACTCAGAGGTTAGAACTTTTTACAGGTAAGAGTTAAAAAACAAAAACAAACGAGTTTTATTTTCACACAAACTACAAAAACACAAAAACAGACATCAGCACCGCCAGACACACAACTGCACCTTTAACCCTCCTGTAACCGGGTCAAACCGGGTCAAACCGGGTCAGCAGGAGGGTCAATCTGAGGATTAATAAAACCTGTTCTTCTACAAAGGTTCTCTGGTTCTGGTTCTGGTTCTGTTAGTGGGTTAAGGTCTCATGAGGTGGTGATTCCTGCAGGTCCGGGTCTTCTCCTGGTTCTGGTCCCGTCGGGTCTGAGTTCTGGTCCTCGGTGGGCAGCTCAGAAGATGGTGCTCCAGCGTTTGGGGGGCGGGCGGGACTTGGCTTCTCCCTGCAGATGAGAGGAGAGTGAGGGGTTCTGACCCAGATGGAAGCGGGCCGCAGGTTCTGGACTAAAACCTGAAAGGATTGTCAGACTGGACCTGGTGGAACCGGTCCACGCTGAGACAGGAAGTGATTTCAGACCAACATCAGGAATAATTAATGTCAGATTGATCTGGACCCTGAACAGAACCAGGATCTATAAAGTCCAGTTCTACAGGACCCGGTTCTGAGATCTTTAAAGAACTGGTTCTGGGCTCACCAGGTTGAAGATTCTGGACAGGGTGCTCTGTTCCCTGCGCCTCCGGACCGGCGACTTGGTGCTGTCCGGACGAGACGAGGCCTGAAAACAGAAGCTCTGTAAGACCAGAACCAGAACCTGAACCTGAGTCTGAACCTGAGTCTGAGTCTGGAACCAGAACCAGAACCTGGTTCTGGTTGTCTCTAACAGGTTTTGACAGAACTTTGTGGTTCAGACTCAGCTGTGTGAAGAACAGGTCTGACTGAGACAAGAGACGAAGACGAGGATCAGTTTCCACAACCTTCAGAGGACAAACAGAGACAAAGTCCAGAGGGACCATGAGTCACACCTGAGACAGAGGAGGAGGAGGAGGAGGAGGAGGAGGAGGTGTTACAGGACAGAAGAGGTGAGGAAGAGGAGGAGGAGGAGCAGCCAACAGGTCCTGCAGGAGGAGGTTTTTACCGGTTTATAAACAGCTGAGAAGTTTCAAAGTCATCCAGGAGCAGCGAGTCGCTCTGAGTTCAAGTAAACAAGCAGGTAAATAAACAAACAAAAACAAGTTTAAAGTAAAACAATCAATAATAAAGTTATCTGTAGAACAGAGCTGTAAGACTGTAAGACAGAACTCTCAGCTGTAAGACTGTAAGACAGCTGTAAGACTAAGACAGCTTTCAGCTGTAAGAATGTAAGACAGCTTTCAGCTGTAAGACTGTAAGACAGCTTTCAGCTGTAAGACTGTAAGACAGAACTCTCAGCTGTAAGAATGTAAGACAGCTGTAAGACTGTAAGACAGAACTCTCAGCTGTAACACTGTAAGACAGAGCTGTCAACTGTAAGACAACTCTCAGCTGTAAGACTTAAGACAGAGCTGTCAGCTGTATGACTGTAAGACAGAGCTTAAAGCTGTAAGACTGTAAGACAGAACTCTCAGCTGTAAGACTGTAAGACAGAACTCTCAGCTGTAAGACTGTAAGACAGAACTCTCAGCTATAAGACTGTAAGACAGCTGTCAGCTGTAAGACTAACAGAGCTCTCAGCTATACGTCTGTTAAACAGCTCTCAACTGTAAGAGCTGTCTTATTCCAGTCTTACAGCTGAGAGCCCTGTCTTACAGTCTTACAGCTCAGCGTTCTGTCTTACAGTCTTACAGCTCTGAACAAGTTTTGGTTTCTTGTGAGTAAAACATGTTTAGAGTGGTTTAGAGTGGTTAGGGTGAGGACAGTTGCTGTGCAGATAGAAGACATGTTTAGAGGACAGCTGGCGCTCAGAGTCAGGAGGGTTTTGGGGGTTCTTGGTTCTGGGGATCAGAGGGGTTCTGTAGGACTGAAGAAGACTGTGACGTACCAAACCCAGAACTTCTCTCCACTGGACATGAAACAGAAAATGTGAAGATTTGTCTCAGACTGAAGCTGCAGATTTGTTCATCAGTTTACATTCAAACAGGTTTTATTGAGTTTGGTTCAAACGAAGCAACAGAACCAACAACCTGAGCCTGACTGTAAACATGAGTGTAAACAAGACTGTAAACATGACTGTAAAGAAGACTGTAAAAGAAGACTGTAAACATGAGTGTAAACGTGACTGTAAACAAGACTGTAAACGTGACTGTAAACATGAGTGTAAACAAGACTGTAAACATGAGTGTAAACAAGACTGTAAAAGAAGACTGTAAACAAGACTGTAAACATGAGTGTAAACAAGACTGTAAACATGACTGTAAACATGACTGTAAACATGACTGTAAACATGACTGTAAAAGAAGACTGTAAACAAGACTGTAAAGAAGACTGTAAACATGAGTGTAAACATGACCGTAAACATGATCGTGAACATGACTGTAAACATGACTAAACACGACTGTAAACACGTGTAAACACGGCTGTAAACAAGACTGTAAACACAACTGTAAACACGAGTGTAAACATGACTGTAAACATGATCGTAAACACGACTGTAAACGAGTGTGAACACGCGTGTAAACACGAGTGTAAACCTTACTGTAAATATTACTGTAAACATGACTGTAAACATTACTGTAAACATGACTGTAAACGAGTGTGAACACGAGTGTAAACACAACTGTAAACACGACTGTAAACACTACTGTAAACACAACTGTAAACACGACTGTAAACACGAGTGTAAACACGACTATAAACATGACTGTAAACAAGACTGTAAACACGAGCGTAAACATGACCGTAAACATGACTGTAAACAAGACTGTAAAGACGAGCGTAAACATGACCGTAAACATGACTGTAAACAAGACTGTAAACACGAGCGTAAACATGACTGTAAACACAAGTGTAAACATGACTTTAAACATGACTGTAAACATGACTGTAAACATGACTAAACACGACTGTAAACATGACTGTAAACATGACTGTAAACATGACTAAACACGACTGTAAACATGACTGTAAACATGACTAAACACGACTGTAAACATGACTGTAAACACGACTATAAACATGATTGTAAACAAGACTGTAAACACGAGTGTAAACATGATTGTAAACACGAGTGTAAACATGACTGTAAACAAGACTGTAAACACGAGCGTAAACATGACTGTAAACACAAGTGTAAACATGACTGTAAACATGACTGTAAACATGACTGTAAACAAAAACAATGTTTGCTGATAAACAGGAAATAAATCTGAGTTCTTCTCTTTATGACAGATTATAAACCTGCAGATTAAATAAATCAAGTTTCAGAGATTCTGACGTTAAAAACAAAGTCTGAACAGAACCAACATGCGGACCTGTAGCTTTATGACCCTGGTCCCTGTAGAACCAGAGCAGGGTCTGACCCTGGTTGTGGTCTTCATGGACAGAATGGGGGTCTGGTTTCTGCAGACCCAGATCTCTCTGGAGGGATTATAGATCCTCTCTGGTCTGGGAACACTTTGGGATCCTCCAGGAGGAGCTGGAGAAGGAGAGAGGTCTGGGTGTTTCTCCTGGACCTGACCCCTGGTTGAGTTGGAGTTCTGAGTCCAGAGTCTTCCTCTCCTCCTCCTCCTCCTCCTCCTCCTCCTCCTTCTAAGGGTTTAAATCTAAATCTTTATTTTCCAGGTTTGATCCAACCTTCAGTCTGAAGCTGGTGAACCTCTGAGGACCAGCAGGGGGCGCTCCTCCAGAGACCTCACAGCTGAGCCGTGGCCTCCATGTATGAAAACATCAGAACCACTCTAGTCTGACTCGACCCGGTTCTGGTTCTGTTGCTTCGTCTTAATTTCAGGAAACCACAAAATTAAAGTGTAAAGAAATAAATCCTCTAAAATTTACTAAATAATCTAAGAAATCTGATTAAAGCTAAATGTTCTTGCTCAAAGCTTTTGTTTTGAAATTAAAGTAAGGATGATGTCATTGATGATAAAACGGTTATTTTTGTTTGTTCAGATTCTGCCACCAGGTGGCGCCAAAACAAATGTTGACACAACCTGAGCAGAAACTTGAAGCTGAAAAGTTTCAGAAGTAAAAAAGTCGCGACTCACCGTTGATTTAGGAGGAGGGGAGGAGACCTGCAGGAGAAACAACAAACAACCATACTGAACGTAAACAACAACAACAACAACAACAACTGATCTGAGACGAGCAGAACCAAAGAAACTCACGATGCTCCTGAAGAAGTGCAGCACGGCGTTCTCAGTGGGCCGGCGGCGGGCCGTGGCCTGCTGGGGCGAGGCGGCGTGGGGACCCCGGAACGAGCCCTGACCCCCACATGTCAATCAACACAAGGTACAATAAACAACAACAACAACAACACTGATTCAAATGAGCTCATCATGAAATAAAATCTGTTTCTATCAGACAGGAAGTTGGATTATTGTGATTAAATGTTGATTCGACCAAATTATCTTTTACATTTCTGATAACAAATTTAAAAATTTTAGCTTCATAATATTTCAGCCTCGTTAGAAG